CAACTTTGATTAACACTCTCCTTTCATGATGATAGGGACAAAAAAAACTCCCAAATCCACCGAGTTTTTTTTTTAAATATTCTATAAAAATATATATATATATATACATATATATTGAGAATTGACTCACTTTTCAAACTATTTAAGAAACTAACTTGATTTTTGAAATCGCATTTTGAAACACGATTTTGAAATTGAAATTTTATTTTTAATATGCAATTTCACCTGAAAACGCATGTTGAAAATGCAATTTATGATGACATGGATTTCACTTTTGAAATTGCATTTTCCATATGATTTCAAGATGAAATTACACGTTGAAAATGCAATTTCAATTTCAAATTCGCATTTTCAAAATGCGATTTCAAAAACCAAATAAGTTTCTCAAATAATTTAAAAAGTGAGTCAATTCTCTAAATTTTTTTTTTTTTTTAGAATATTAAAAAAAAAACTCCAAATCCATCAATAAGCAAAACAAAGTAAAAAAATATATATAAATAAATAATCGACACATGACAAACAAATTAGAGAGACAAAGATAGATATAATATAAATATTGTTAATTTTGAATAAAGGACCTAGGTTGTCGGTGCAACTATCGCGATATATCAAACAAATTAATTGATGATGTTAGCTAACCTTACGGTTAATTGATGGAACACAAATTGTAATGAGATCATAAATTTTAGGGAGGAAAGTGCAATTTACATGCCGTTAGGAATATGTAGGTGTAATTTATCCTAAATATTTGGTTAGAGTTTGTGATTTTTTATTTAAGAGAGGTGAGTCTGAATGTAATTAGGCTATTTGGTTTAGTTGTAATTATCCAATTGCCACGCAACATAAAAGTCCTTATTGGTCTTATGCTATGTTCATATTCTTGAATGGGAAAATTACTATGTAGGGGGTTTATTTCCCTTCTAATCTCAATATATTTTTAATAGATTAATAGCTCCACAGTTTTTTAAGTTTTATACTTAAATGTCTCGTTTTTTATTTTCTTATTTTTTAAATGACTGTATTATCCTTTGTTTTGAGATCTATATATACGTGAAAAATCAAATATTTGCTCCGTTCAAAAAAGAAAATCAAATCTTTGCCTCTGCGATCTCGATTTCTCTTCATTATGGCGATCTCATTGTGTTGTGTGGTCGATCTCATTGTGCTGTGAGGTGGATCTGGTTGTGCGATCTGAATCTCTGTGTATGGGAGATCTCTACGTACGTTCTCTGTGTGTGTGTGTGTCTGTGTCTGTGTCTCACTCTGTCTGTATCTGTCGATACATATATGTATGTATATATAGATAAGCAAATTTGCGTGATATCTGGTTTATGTTTGGCAATATTGTTTTAATTCTTTGTTTTGTGATAAATTTTGTTTGTTTGATACTTATTTTGTGATTTTTGTATGTGATATAGTGTAATGATTTTGACTTTGTTGATTTTATTTGTTGTATAGTGTAATGTGTTTTGAAGTTGTAGTTTGGAATTGTGAATTCTGATGTTTTGATACTGATATGTTGTAACTGTATAATTTTGTAGTTTGGAATTGTGAATTGTGCAGTGTTAGTACTGATATGTTGTAACTGTATAATTTTGCAGTTTGGAATCTGTGAACAATTGTTTGTTGGTTTGTAATTTTGTAGTATGGAGGGGTGTTTCATGTTAATGTACAAATACAGTCATTCTTTGTAACAACCCTCGTCACTGTTCGCCGATTAACCATTGATTACTGCTAAACTGAGACTGATTATGATTGGTAACTGAATTGATTGATGTATTGAACTGACTGACTGAAATCTGGAACTGAATTGATTAAGTATATTTGTTTAATTGTATGTCTATCTGTTGACTGTTTAATTATCTATTCATGCCTTTGTGTTTAAATTGCGAATTGAAAGCCTTATCGGCGGCCGAATCTGAAACTGATTGATGATTTGTGTTCATTGGAATTTATATGATTTTATGGTGTATTTATCTAAAATGTGATTTGGTATGATTAAATTGGATTAAAATGAGTAAAATTGCAATAGTTGACTTAATTACCAACATGCCACTTAGTGGACCACTTAGGCAACATATTTGAGCTTTATTATACATTCAACACAACATTTCATCAGCCTTTTTCCTTGTTATTGCCGACCAAGAGAGGAGAGTGAGAGGTTTGGAATGAATTCAACTTGATTTTGTGTATTGGCTTGAAGAATTGGAATATAGGTTGCAAGTTAAGCTTCCTCACCTTGGATTGGAGACCTAGGTAAGGGAATTCAACCTCTCATTGTTGCGTTTAAGCTTGTTCTTGCATGGTTTTGAGCAAAGTTGGAGTCTAGAGCCAATTTATGGCTCAAATTGTTGAATTGGAGCTTAAGTGTTGCATGCATGTATATATATTGAAGTTTTGAAGTTGTAGTCCATAATTCCTCACATGCATGTCCATGTTTGAGTGTAGACCATGATTTCATCTTGTCTTTGAAGATATTGACTCATTAGAGCATGAAATTGAAGCTTTGAAATGGTTTAAATTCATGCATGTTATGTTTGAATTATGTTCATGAAAATTAGTTTAAATTGCGTTGAATTGATCTTCCTTTTGGGCCTTGATTTTACAAATTGAGCTTTGAATCATGTTATTCTATGTATTTACAAATGTTTTCCAGGAAAAGGGCCCAAAGAAATTGGTTTTAATGCATTTGAACTTGGTTTGAGCTTGGAAGTTCAAATCTGGAAATTTCAGATTTTGAACTCCCGCTCGAGCGGGGGAAGTAGCGCTCGAGCGGGAAATTCGTGCTCCCAGTACTTTGCACTATTTTGATGTCCGCTCGAGCGGAATAATTGACGCTCGAGCGGGACCTTGTGTCTCACGCTCGAGCGGCTATCGAGCGCCCATCGAGCGCGATTTTCACACATCCAGTACTTTTGCCCTGTTTTGCAGAACGCTTGAGCGTGAAAGTCTACGCTCGAGCGGATACCTTTGTCTGCATGTCCGCTCGAGCGAGTAAACCTACGCTCGAGCGGGACCTCTGTTTTCTGAAAATTCTGAAAATATTTTCTGAATGCATCTTTGCATCCTCATCCCATCCTAGGTATTCTTAGGCCTAGTTTAAGACATCTTAATGAGGATATAGATGTAAAACACACCAAGGCAAATTAGGGATTAAGTTTTATCTTTCCCAACTGTGTAGCTTAGTGTGTGTTCAATCTGTAACTGTGTAGGGTTGGCGATCGGGGACGCGCTCTAGCTTTACTGTAGCCCAGAACTCTGTGAGTAACAACTGTGTAAAGATATGTTCAAAATGATTATCTTCTGAACAATTGAACTGTACTGCTTTCTAAACTGATACTGTTAATTGAATGAATGTATGTCCTATATTCTGAACTGTATTGTGGCATCCTTAGCAACTACTATTTACTGTTACTGTTACATAGATCTCTGTCGGTTCCCTTGTTGGAACCACTACTGTTTACTGATTGATGGCCATCATTTACTGTTCGGTCTTTTAAGACCTACTGTTTACTGTACTGTTATGCTAATGGATGTACCACATATGACTGAATGACTGATATACTGAATTAACGAACTGTTTTCATTACTGTAAGGACATTCATTCTTAACCTCTTTACGCATTACGTTATTCACTGGGTTTTAGCTCACTGGTCATATATATATATATATATATAGGTGTACAAGCACCAGACCGTGGCTACAAGCGTTGGGGTAACTCCAATTTTGTCAAGCCAACCACTGTGCCTCACTGTGAAGTTCCAAACCTGTCAAGTTATGGCTTAGGGGTGTTTTAATTTCTCCGTCTGTCTCTGTATCTGTTTTGTATAACTATATTGACTGAATGTTACTGTACTGTACTGTATAACAGGGATTAAGTCCCTGTCTTGATCGACTGTAGATGTTATACATACTGTTCTGTACTGTTCATGTATATGTGTATGAAAAATCTTTTTGCATACAGACTCACAGCTCATTGGACATTGTTTACTTACTGTATTGGCTTCCGCTAGCCCTGTACTCTATATTACTGTTCTACTGTTAAGCAGGCCTTCGGTAATCTCGGATTACTGGCCGATTACGGTACTAAACCCATAGGGGCGAGTTTGGGTCGTGACATTCTTATACTGCTATTAAGATTAGTGAGGGATGTAGTTATCATGAAGTTGTTGAGAAAATATCTGCGAAATTCAAGGAGTTGAGTGTTGGTAACTTTTGTTTGTTTTTCTCTATTCCTGGATATTCTAATTGTATTGTTGAATGTAATAATGATTTGTGAAATATGTTGTCAATGGTACGTTGTAGTGGTTCTCATGTTGTTGATGTTGTTGTGGGTGATAAGAGAATTGTGGAGGTTAATGATGATAATTCTTGTAGGATTGATTCTGTAATTTGTGAGAGTTCGTTGGTTAACAACTGTGATGATTTTGGTGGTTTGTTGCCTAGTTTTTATCCAGAACCAGAGAGAGTTTTGTTGTCTGCTAGTTGGAAGGGAAATATACATAGTGTTGGTCAAGAATTTGAAGATGGAGTGCCGGCGTTCCGCATTGCATTCACTAAGTATGCAGTTGAGTGTGGTTTTGCAGTGAATTATTTGAAGAACGATGCAACAAGAGTAACCGCTGAATGTATGATGAAATTGTCTACGAGTTGTAAATGGTTTGTGCATGGAAGGGTGTTGATGAATTCCGGTATTTTTTTTATATTGAAGTTGGATTATGTGCATACTTGTGGGGTTGTTGTGCATACTTGTGGGATTGTTGTTCGTAGATCTTGTAGCAAAATGGTTGGTTCTAGACTTGTGTCTAATATTGTGCATAATGATATTAGTTATAATCAGTTAACTCGTCCTATTGAAGTTAAAAAAAAAGTTGAAAAAGCAATATGGTATAGATGTTTCTTATCGGGTTGCATGGTTAGGAGTTGATAAGGCAAGAGGTGGGTTGTTTGGTGATTTTGCAATTTCTTTTGACCAACTTCGATGGTACCTTGAGACGGGTATGAGAACGAATCCGAGAAGTGTGTTTGAATTAGATGTGGATGAAAGTAATGGGTGTTTTCGGAGGTTGTTTGTGGCATTTCATGGATGTTTGTATGGCTTTCAATTTTGTCGTCCGTTGTTGTTTGTTGATGGTACATTCTTGAAGGAGCGTTACAAGGGACATTTGCTTGCAGCAACATCAAAGAATGGTAATCAATGTATGTATTTATTTGTAATTAGTATAGGTTTGGTTTGTCTGTGTTATTGTATTGTGAGTCTGTTAATTTTTATAATTTCATGTTATTTTGTTTGCAGGTCTGTTTCCTTTGGCTTTTGCGATTGTTAACGCTGAAAATCAAGATAATTGGATGTGGTTTTTAAGTCAGTTGTTAAAGGCTGTTGGTTCAGGCCGGAGATTGACCTTTGTGTCTGACCGTCAACATGGATTGCTAGACGCTCTTTCAGTGGTTTTTCCTAATGCACATCATGCATATTGCTTCAATCATTTGAAGAGAAATTTGATTGACAAATTGGTGGGACTTCATACTAACTATAAGCTGAGTTTGATAAAAATATTAGTTAAATGTGCTTATGCGCCAACTGTTACTTCTTTCCAACATTATATGGAGAAATTGAGGTGTATTGTTGGGAATGGTAGAGTTGATAGTATATTGGATGGTTTGCAAAATGATAAGTGGGCCAATGCATTTTTTAGAGGGAAACGATATGGTGAGATGTCATCTAATGCTGTTGAGTCTTACAATAATTGGATTGGTAGGGCTCGTGAGTTGTATATTACTTGTATGGCTGATATGATTAGGGTTCAAATCATGCCTCAATTGTCTAATAGAAGAGCTAAATCTAAAAAATGGACTACGAAATTGTGTCCGATTATGGAAAAGAAATTTGTGGACTCTTTGAAGCTAGCTAAGTCTTGGGATGTAATTGTTACTAGTGATACTGTGCTTGAGGTTTATTCTTTTATTTCTTCTTATGTTGATATTGGTAAATAGACTTGTTCTTGCCATGAATGGCAATTGAATGGTTTTCCTTGTTGTCATGTTGTTCATGCTTTGCGTAGTAATGGTAGAGATGTGTATGATTTCATTGATCTCTTTTTTTCATGTAGATTGTTTTAGAGAGTCATACAAGGAATCTGTTTATCCAGTGCCTTCAAGTGAGAGATTTGACTTTGATGATGCCGATAGTTCGATTATCAAACCTCCTATAACGAAGAAGCAGCCTGGGCGGAACAAGAAGAAGATGATACCTTCTAGGGGTGAGAATGTGAAGCAAATCAAGTATGGGAGGTGCTTAAAATATGAGAATCACAATAAGAAGACGTGCAAGGCTGCAATTTGAGGCCACAGTCTATTCTTTTGGATTTGTATTTGAATTTGAGGAATTATGATAATAAAAAATGTGATACTTGGTATTATGGAAGTAATGAATAAAGTTGATTGCATTGTTTTTTCTTTTTTGATGTGTTCTTTAGTTATTGAAGTTGTTTTGTAACAATTTTGTTATGTTTTTTATTTTTATGTTTTTTTGTGGATTTAGTTGGTTTTATTTTTATAAAATGCTGAGAAGGTTGTTGAAAATTTCTTATTGAAACTGTATAATATTGAAATGCAGTTTTACTACATAATACATTTATTTCATATTTCATAGTGACAAAACTGTACAATTTTACAGTTTTATTTTCAATTTTGAAATGCAGTTCATCTATTTGTTGAGTCATGAAATTGGATGCATAATTGTGTAGCATAATTTTTGTTTGAGTAATGAAACTGCATAATTTTACAGTTTTAAGAATTATGAAAAACAACCTAATGACTTTGCATAATTTTGCAGTTTAAGAATTATTATAAACAACCTGATGAAACTGCATATTTTTGCAGTTTGAAGAATTATTAGAAATAACTTTTACTGTATGAAAATATATGCAACTACAAACAATCAAAAGAACAACAACAATAATAATAACAAGAAGAAGAGCCACAACAACATCAATGACAACAATCATTTTCACCATAATAACCACAAGAAGATCATTTCCCAAAAGCATATAAAGTACTTGTCACATGTTTAAAAAAAAAAGAAATACAAAAATATGTTCACTTGAATATTTGTATTGTCAAGAAGTTTGTTCATTGTTTCTATGGTTTGATATGTTTTGTCAACATTTGGTAGTGCTCGAGTTTCCAAGATCGGTTGTTATCATTGAGGAATTGACTGATAATTTCTGCTCGAAATTTGACCCACTCAGTTGGTCGAAGTGATTTCTACATAGGTTGCCAGTTGATATATTGGTTGATAACATTGCAGACGGCGATTGCATAATCATTCCTGCAAAGTTTTAGATAAAGTTAATTAGTTAGGTAAAATTGCAAAATTTAGCATATTTGAACATTAGTTTATAGATTTTGTATCTTACGAGTGTGGAGTTTGTTGTGGGCATTCCTCAATTGATGCAAATACTGTCTCGCACTCTTGAGATGATAAGATGTTTCCTTGATTGCTGAATAATGTTTTATTCCATCTCAGTTGATGTTGTTGCTACAAAATAGTTAGTGGGTGTTTTTGTTAGTTATAGTGATGAGTTGAGATGTTTTGAAAGGAATAGAACTAAGTAGAAAATTTTATTTAACTTATAATTTCCTTTGCAATTTCAAAGTGTTTGTTGTGGCAATCTTTTGTTGGTCTCAAAGAGTCATAGTGTCTCCATATCCCATCAGCATTGTCAAAGACCACAATTGTCCAACGGTTGTTGTGGTTGATTGAGAAATGAATATATTTGTTTTTCATTGCTTCTGGAAAATGGTTGTCCATTATTTTTTCTCTCAGTGCTTGATCTTGGTTTTGTAATGGAGTCTGTAATTTATATATATGTTTGAAATATGTTATAAAACTATGTAGTAAGACATGTTAAGAAAATAGAAAATTTTGCAGTTTGAATAATATTGAAAGGTATGTTAAGTTTTGCTTACATTGATGAGTGTTGAGAAAACGTAAGATCTTCCCACGTATGGATTTCTTGCAAAGGCTAGATCATGTTTCTCAAATTCTTCAATGGATGGTTAGAGTGCCAATTTCATTTCTGAGAAGGCATCAATGACCTGAAACATGTTATATATGAGAATGTGTTAGGCTTGTGGAATAGATTATTGAATATGAATAGAAACTGTAAAATTGTGCAATTGGAGACCTAGATTCCCACATAAGGGTTCCCTATTGGTCAATCTGCATATATATCTGAAAAGTATATGCAATTTTCATCTTCGCTGCCAGACCAGACACAAGCACTTGATTGTGTGTTGTTGATGAGTTGAATTTGGTCTTGGTCTTTTTTGGATAGGCTATGCTAAACCTTGTTTGTTTTGCGGCATGAAATGGCAAGTGGCTTGTTTTGGATTGATTCTTTCTTGAAATCATCATCAATTTCCAATACTTGAAGTTGTGTCTTCTCTTGATTGGCATCCTCTTTTGAGTTGGTTTCAACAGCAACTTCTTTCTCTTAGCCAATATCTTCTTGCATCTTTTCTTTCTGCTGCTGTTTTGCTTCATGAGCACCCACTTTTTGCTCGGGTTAAGTAACAGGTTCTTTCTCTGTTTCGATTTCTTCTTTTTTCTTTTCATTCTTCTTCTTTTTTTCTTCATCGGTACCCTCTGTTAGTTTGGGTACATCAGCAGCAGTTTCTGTCTTGTTCCTTGTATCTTCTTTGGCTTTTGTCATTGGTTGGTATTCAAAAGCTGGGTCATATGCTTGTTTTCTTGACTTTTGTTTGATTCGCTTGACCATTGATCTTTGTTGGGGACTGCTAGTTTTTTTGACAGATATTTTTTTTCAATTGATCTTCTTTTCTATGCAATTCAGCCATGAATTTTTGTTCTATTTCTTGCATTTGTGCTCTCATGGTTGATATGAGCTTGTCATTGTCGTCCTCTTTGGTTGATGTTTGTGTTTGGTCATGACCTATAAAATGTTGGATTGTGTTTTGGTTAGTTTAATTAAATTTTGCAATTTTCTTCAGTAGTAGACAAAAATTTACCTTGTGCATGAAATGTGTCAAATTTCTCTTGGAGCGCTTTTTGTTGTTATGTCCTTTGTTCTTCTTGTTGTTTTGCTTGTTCTTTTTTTTCATGTTGTTGTTATTGGTCTGTCAGTTGTTGCTCATTGACTTCTTATTGTTGGTTTGTTTGTTGTTGCTGTTGTTCTTGTTGTTAGCCTTCTTCTTCATCAGTGTCTTCTTGTTGATCACATTTTTCTTCTTCTCTTTCTTCTTCTTCATCATTGTCTTCTTCTTCTTCTTCTTCTTCTTCTTCTTCTTCAGTCACTTGTTTTTTTTCATCATCACTCTCTTCTTCTTGTTCATCACTTTCTGGTTCTTCTTGTGGTTCTTGCTCTCTTTTCTTTCTTTTTTTGTTGTTCTTGTTCTGATTCTGATTCTGATTGATGTTCTTCTTCGAGAAAGTCATCCTCATCACTGTTTAGAAGTCTCTTTGTTTTTGTTGCTTTTGTTTGTTTTTTTCGCTTATTGTCCTTTTTGTGGTCATGTTTCTTTGCTGAAGAGTTTGTTGATGTGCTTTGATTGATATGCAATAACTGTATTTCTTGTTCAGTTGGGATTAAAGCACTTTGGCCAACCTGCATTGGAACAATGTGGCATATATCAGTAATACTGTAAAATTGGTCAGTTTCATAAGATGAGTTGTACTGTGAGTAATGTGAGTTAAGTGTTGAAATATGTTGTTTGAAACTGAAAAATTTTACAGTTTCATAACATGAGTGATGTTAAATAGATTTGTGCGTTCAAACTGTAAACTTTTACAGTTTCATAACATGAGTGATGTTAAATAGGTGTGTGCTTTGAAACTGCAAACTTTTACAGTTTCATAATATGATTTGTACTGTTAATAATGTGAGTTAAGTGTTGAATATATGTTGTTTGAAACTGAAGAATTTGACAGTTTCATAACATGATTTTTACTATAATGACTGTGAAAGGAGTATTGAATAGATTTGTGCTATAACAGTATAGAAGAGTTTGAATATCTTTTCAAAGTGAGCAAGGCTAATGTGTTTCCACTTGGAGTACATTTTGCGAAGGTTTCATTTCATAAACCTTGGGAAGCCTTCTTTGTTGGATGGTCGGAGGAGTTTATTGTGCCCACAGTACTAGTACTGTAAAAAGAAATTGAAATATGTTAGATAGTTTGAAATAGGTGGATGTTTGATATTTTTGTGTGAAGTAGTTGAGTAGTGTGTTTACCAAGAGTAACATGATGCATCCAGTGACATGCCTTGGGTTGTTGTTTGCATTTGCCATTGAATTCATCAGTGTATTTTTTATTGCCTCAACCTAATTGTACTTCTTGATGTTGTTAAGATTGTCAACATAGTTGAGGAAACTCCAACTGAGTGTATGGCCTGTTGTAGGCATGAGAAGCTTCAAACACAAGTAAAGGGTGATAACCTTTACAAGATCTTGACGATCATTGGTTAATTTTCCTTTTTTTTGTTTTGTTGAAACATTTTGGTCAAAGACTTGCCATCCAATCTCTTTACTGATTTGCATCTTCGTTTGTAAAATGCAAGCTCAAAATCCTTTGGTTTTGCATAGGATTTTGTGGTGATGCTGTCTTCTCCACAGTCGATACCAAAAATGAGCTTGACATCACTGTTTCTGAGTTTCATTTCCTTTTTGCCAAGTATAAATGCTCTTTTTCTTTTGTTATAGATTGTTGTCATTTCTGCTACAATGGAATTGTAGCATTTTCATCAAGAGGCCTTCAGTTGTGTTAAGGAGAGAACATTTATAATGGGCCAAAAAAGGGTTTTTTGCAGCTCTGTCTGTTAGGCTTTTGTGAATTTAACCCCCTTCAACAGTTTGATTATTGTTCCAATGTTGGAACGGTAATTAAACTGTTGGACTCTCTCTGCAAGGACTACTATTTTTTTCCCTTTTGATGGCTTGGTTTTTGTTTTGGGAGTTGATTGGCTTTCTTGGAGCTTTCTTTTTTTGGTTGGACGAGCTTCTTTTTTTTTTTGTTGGCTTTCTTTTGTTTGTTTGTTTTTTTTTTTTTTTTGTGGTTGGTGTTTGTTGTGTGGGTGGGGTCTGTGGTGTAGTTCTTGGGCTTTTTCTTGTAGGTAGTGTGGTTGTTTTGTGGATTTGTTGGTAGGGTTTGTGGTGTTTGATTGTTTTTGGTTGTGGTGGTTGGGTTTTTTGTGAAGGGGGAGATTTTGGTGGCATTTCAATGGATACAGGTGAAGGACTATCAAAAGAGGAGATACTTAAATCCCTTATTGGATTTTGGGGCATATGGGTTTGTTTCTTCCAATATCTTCCAACAGGTATTTC